ATATTTTGCACTTTTGTTTCCCAGACATATATTTAGTGAAGAGTCGATTAAAATTACGAATTTAGTTTTATTTACGTTAGGAAACGAAAATAAAACTAAAAACTGTTTCCAAAGTGGAAAGCAAAACAAAATTAAAAGGAAGGAAAATTTTACTATAACCCATATTTTTATTTAAATAAAAACTTCATCAGAGGCGTTTTGGACTTTTTTTGTGGGAAGAGAATTAGATTAAGCCGTCAGAGCTCCGATGTGTAACGCTCGGGTTAAGTCGGCTGGAGTCGACTAATTAAAGTGTTTTCATATAAGGATTAAAATATCTCAAAAACTAAAATTCGGACCTGTATATTGTTACAGAGGGAAATATTCAGCATTTCATCATCTTTGTAATGTATGATCATTCAAAATCGCATTTAAGAGGACGCCGTGTTAGAGAGGCGAAAAGGAAAAAAATAGTGTCGAAAACCAAATGGTAACGAGTTATATGATATCTCAGGAACTAAAAATCGAAACTGCATACTGTAAGAAGGGAAAATGTTTAGCATTTTTTCTTTTTTATAATGAGTTATTATTTATAATTTATATTTTATAATTTAACATATGTCTATTTTAGGCCGTAGGTCACCAAAAAAAACACAGTTTTTTTATTTATTTCCTGTATGTTTATTCAACGTTTCGGCTTCAGGAGCCATTTTTAAGAACCTGCAAAACATGCACCGCGCCATAAAATTTTTAAAATTTGTCATTACGATATGATTCGTCCTAATTCATTCTTTTATTTCAAAGAATGTCGTTTTCCGTTTCTCTATTTGCAGACGGTATCAAGAAAGTATTGTTCTTCAATAGGGCATTCATACAGGACTTTTCATAGAGTCCTGTATGAATGCCCTTTTCATACAGGACTTTTCATAGAGTCCTGTATGAATGCCCTATTGAAGAACAATACTTTCTTGATACCGTCTGCAAATAGAAAAACGGAAAACGACATTCTTTGAAATAAAAGAATGAATTAGGACGAATCATATCGTAATGACAAATTTTAAAAATTTTATGGAACGGTGCATGTTTTGCAGGTTCTTGAAAATGGCTCCTGAAGCCGAAACGTTGAATAAACATACAGGAAATAAATAAAAAAACTATGTTTTTTTGCTGACCTATGGCCTAAAATAGACATATGTTAAATTATGAGAAAATGGCACCAAACCCGAAAGATGTGCCTAGAAAATTTATATTTTATATTTTGTATTATTAATCATCTCTTGTTCATGTTTTCACTTCTATAGTGTGGTCTGAAGCACACACCTTAATTTTTTTTATACTGCGCCTACAATCCATGATTCCTTTCAAACCTTATTAATTTAATTAATATTGGACGCTTCATCAAATTATAAGTAATTAGTAGTCCATGGCAGATTATTAGCCATCAATGGAGATATTTTCACGTGACGGTATTTGGGATAAAGACCGGTTTAAGGCTCCAGTATTGTTCCTTGCTTTGGATTTAAATAATAAAAGCATTTCCTCTTTAAAGAATAAAAATAAAAATTGGTCAAGTAGAGATTATGAAGAGATCAAAGAATAGGCCATCTTAGTAAGATTATAGCGGCTAGGAAGCTTACTGACGACTAAAGAATGGAGACTGCGGTATTAGCATAAAAAATGCGAGGGAAAATAGTCAGGTCCTTAGGAGGATATCGCCTTCTCTTGTTACCGTAGAACATCGTTGTTGTTTTGTTTGTTTGTTGTTTTTTCAAAAAGTGGAAGAAAGGGACATCGTTAGAAAGCATAAAGGCAATAGGATTTCACTAGCGCGGTGAATAGCATGAATACATGAATGTTTTTTTACTTGAGAAGAGACACATTCCATCGTTATATCTAAAATTAAAGCAATGATCAAATTTAAATAAGAACGAATTACACTATTATCTGAAAAGTATCCAATGTATCATATAAATCCATAAAATACAAGTTAACCATCTAATGTGGCTTTACTGTTTGATAGCAATCAAGATCTGATATGCTGTCAGAGATTACAGGCAATATTACAAATCATCGCAAAAGATTCCGATAGTGCAAAATTTTCCATAAAACGAAAATGAGGATAATAATAATAATAATAAAACTCTTAAATAAAACATTTTTTATGTAATGCAATATTTTCTTAAGGTTGGGTTGAAATTAGACAGCCCAATCGTTGCGCTTTAATAAAAATAAAAAAGTTGCGTGGGTTCATTATAGTAATATTTTGATACTTAAGTTATTTTGAAAATTGGCTTAAAACATTATTTAAGTAAGATTGAATATAGCTTTAATGAATTTTTAGACCTATACTCGTTGCCCAATTGCGAGACCAAGAAGAATTTTGGTATGAACTGGAGTGCCACTGTTTTTTTTGTTTTTTTTTTACTTTCCTACAGTTTCGAACATTTTTTTTTTTAAATATGTACATTAAAAATAAAACAATCGAATTAGACTAATTCGCATGATTACCGATCAGAGAAATCATTATAGTACGATTATTTTGATGAACTAAAGCAATGTAAATGGGCAAGTGAATAATTATTAAAATCATTGTATAAAATTTAATATACTGTAATATTTCTAAAACTATTGCTAAGACGTTTTTTCGAAAATTTAATAACTTTTTTAAAATGTTACTACTACATGAAATCAATCAACCCCGAATGAAATTTTGAAAGAATTAAATTCAAAAGTATATTGGTTCTGCCAATTCTTTACGTATGGTAAAGTTGCAAAGTACAAGACCATGTCCGATTTTGTGCAACACTATTGTTTTATAACTTATTGATATAATTTTAAAAAAAATTGAAATAAAGAAGCTAATATTAATGATCTATTTGAACATATTCACATTTACTCAAATGGTGCTAACATACTAATTTATTTTACTGAATACTTGCCACGAAGCTTAATAAAAAGTGGGGATTATAACTAACATTTATTAATATATCTTTAATAAATTTTAATAACGGCAGTCATTAAATGTCTTGGCCCAATAAAAGAGGTTGATGCATTCTCCTGACGTTGATGACTTCCCTCCAAGAAATTTAAATTAAAATTAAATTATATCGATGCAGATTAAAAAGGAAACGGCCAAGATACCTACTATATTGATAATAACAAAATCAAACAAATACACAACAAAAAATATAAATATTGTACAACGAATATTATATTACGAATATTACAACGATGCGCAGGTACAAATTGCATGGAATATTAAAATAAATGAATAAAATATAAATGTTTTATGGATCCACGGGTCCAAGTTCTAAAATGTCTTAACTCGTTTTACCCTCGACTGCCCAAGTATGACATGGTCTCTTATAGAAAACATTTCTATTCTGAACCGTTATGTGTAGAACAAAATATTTTTTCACTAACTCTAAGTCATGATGAAAACAAATCAAACATTGCTACAATGCGTATAGCATTTTATTCAAACCGAATAAAATCACAATACATTTTATATAATTATATTGAGGACATTGGCTACTAAATTATATTATAACCAATGCTCTTTCATGCTTAAGTGCTGCTCCTAAACATTAATCACAAAAACAGAAGCAAATTATTAAATTCAAGTAAGAAAAAAATAAGCATTTGTTGGTACTATTGAAATAAATATGATATGTTTTAAAACCCTTCAATTTTGTAGTTTTATAGTTTTAACTTGACAATGACAGAGTATAATGTGAAATTAAATGAAAATAATAAAAACTACATTGATGATATTTGTTCAAACATGAAACTATTTTCTGACAGATGAAAATGGAAAAACATTTTATAACCAATGCTCTTTCATACTTAAGTGCTGCTCCTAAACATTAATCACAAAAACAGAAGCAAATTATTAAATTCAAGTTAGAAAAAGATAAACATTTGTTGGTACTATTGAAATAAATATGATATGTTTTAAAACCCTTCAATTTTGTAGTTTACTACCTACATACTACCAAACCCCAAAGGTTAACATTACAAGTTCCTAACCATCAAATTAGGAATATTAAGGCGTTCCTGACTTGTATACCACCGATGATTAAAGCAGTATTATGGCTACATGAGTTGAATTTCAATGACCAAGACCATTGTTTCACAAGCTATAATATTAGCGGCGAGGAAGTAAGCCCTACGACTATAGAAAGGGCACAAGAATCGCGATGTCATGTTTTCTAAGCTGAAAACACAATAGGAGAAGATTTAGCTTTATTAAACGGAGTAATCTATTTTTAGGACACAGGAAGGGGGCTAATCGGAAGTATAAATAAGGCATAGGCATCAATAGTCCCAATAATTAAAATTAAAAAAAAAAAAAAATTTATTAATTCATAAATGCTTTATGAATATTCATTATTATGAATACATTTTATTTAATAATTCAGACTACTGAAGTCTGTACCCTTTAAAAAATAAATATATGTTTACCTCAGAAATAGTTAAAGATGTTCACTGATACATAAATGGAATTTCAAAACCAGTGAAATCCATTATTAAATTAAATCCAATCGTGCTCTCAATCGCTAGTTTTTTCAAGTCTTTCGATGTTATTATGCCGATTCACATTTAAATATTGTATTTTTAGTTAATACAGTTATAAATTTAAATAAATATATTTATATAATTTAAATTTAATATTTATTTATACTTAACAGTTTTGGTACTATTTGGCCTTGAAGTAAAAAAATTGTCTTTCAAAGAGAGTTAATTCACAGCTTGATTTAACTTTTATTTGAAAATGAGTTGTTGTATTTCTGGACAATCTAATACTAATAGCGCTAATTTAAAAAAAATATAACTAATTTTGTAAAAATTGTGACACTTTAATTACATATCATGCATAAAAAACAAGTTGTAAATGCCACTCAAGTTTTTATTTATTTCCAATCATTATGCACTAGATTCTTCTTTGACTTGACTCGAAAGATATATTTTTTTTAAATAAAATTACAAATACGTAATTTTTTTTTCAGGTTTAACTGGTGATGGTTTTGTGGTTCTTAGTCACTCCTTTTCTGTTTACTACAGCTACTGTCACAGGTGAGTTACTAAACTAAAATACATTCTTATATTATAGTTTTACTTCTACTGATCTGTGATTTACTTCCCATTAAAGAGAAAAAAAGTATTCACAATAAAATTTTAATGCTGCTTCAACTGTGTTGACACAGCATACTAATCTATCTGATAGACAATTTCTAAAAATGCAACTTGATGCACTTCTTATATAAAAATGTCATTTGTTCTTCCTTTCTTTTCTCCTCCTCATTCTTCTCAATTCTGTCACCCGGATCCATAATGCAATGACCTGATTTAACAAAGGTTATAATGAAAAATTCCCAATGAGTCCAAAATAATGGATTCCGCCATACTCTGTATATATCGTACCTTTCAACACCTAGCTTTTCCAAAAAAATTAGCAGTTGAACGAGAAATCGTCCCTCTACTTCCAAACCAAGGTCCTCATACCTAAAAATTTATCTTTATGTCCCCCCGAATTTCTCTCTATATTTATCTTTCAGGTAAGCAATACATTTTTTATATATTTCCTCCTTCTCAATTTGTATTTTGAGATCTTGCTGCTCATCGTTCGTCTCATATCTAATTGTAGGATCGCCTATAAGAGCTTCCTTTTCTTTTGCACTGAAAGCCAAGACGTCTACGAATCTTGCTGAGCCCTCCGTATCCGGACAATAAACTTCGATGAACCATTTATAATTTTTCGTCTCCACGTATTAGGATATTCGATACTTTATATGATCCAACATCTCCATTTATTCGGTCCTCGAAGAAGAGCATAGTTGACATTGATTTTCGAAGCATTTGTCCACCCTGAGCCTGTAAGAATTTTTTTGTCATACATACATTTGTTAGCCCATTGGTTTGATTTAAAATGTGGTACACCTATTCCCTACCACTTACCAATAGACCTATTCCAATCCTCAAATGACTTTTTCTTCAGGGACTTCTTAACTTTCTGTACTGATATTGACGCTTCTATATTATTCGCATCGAAACCTAACAGGTCAGCACTTTGTACTTCGTCCTCGAAATCAAAAATCGTCTGAAACATAGCATCGAGTACATTGGCCATTTTTTTTAGAAAATAGACCAATACTGAAGGGGAGCCTCCCACTGACACCGCAAAAGACTCAGGGCTCTAATTCGCCGCGGAGCATACATCATAGCAGTGCACGGGTTGGCTGATAAACCTACCATGGCCTTCACACTTCTTCATAATATGACGTCTGTAGATTCCAGTAGTGATATATTAGCTGTTTGCAGCGAATATATCAAATAAGAGAATACATTTCCGTTTATTAGATCCGGCTTAAGGAGATTCGAATTAAATAGCTTTTCCAGATTTCGATTCACCCTACTTACAGAATTATCATCAAATTCTAGCTCACCGGAGAAACGACACCCAAGGTATTTGATTTTGTTTTCTTCTTCAATTAAACTTATTAACTCCCCGGAGTCCAACAGAACTTTGATTTTATCAACTTACCCTTTTTTAAGACAATGCCGGAACTTCTTTGGGGGTTAATGGATGATCCCCATATGAAAACTAATTGAATAAACATTAGTTAAATAAAAAATCCATCAACTTTTCATTAATCTAAAACCTCATATTTACTGGTAGGAGCCGTTTTAAACATACTATGAATGGCTAATATACAATTTTTCTTTTCACACCCTCCGTGGATTTTATTATACAGATATATTTTTTTAATACGATACATACATTTTTCTTTATATATTGAGTTTAAAAAAAACATTCAGACCAGAAGGGAAAGTCATTAATTTATCGATTAATAATATTAAACACTACATGAAAAATAATGATTCAAAGCATTCCTGAAATTAATTAACGTCACATCCTCTTTAAGATTTATTTTTAAATTATCAAAACAACCCCTATTTTATGGGGTAGAAACGAAAGGAAAATTAATATTATACTTTCTTTTTTTTTAAACATTTTATGTTGTGAAGGTTCAACAAAGCACAATGAAAATTTTTATGATTATAAAAACCTCTATAATTCAGGGAAATATTCTAAGACGGGTATTTCTTAAATATAGAATTGAAATTGATATTGTCTTCAATCGTAAATTAGTTTCTCTCTTCAATGTAAAGCTTAAATTTTTTTTATTTCTGCGGTAACCCCTTCGGTCATTCAAAATCTAATCTTTTAGAAGAATAAATAGTCTAATAATCCTGAAATTTTTAATTACTAAAGGAAATTTTCTTAAGTAAATATTAACCTAGTTTGTGATTATTATTTAGTTATTATTTAACTTTTGTTAATTTTATGATCTCTATATACAGTGTAAGTGTGTTCATATCACACTATAATTATTCTTCACGTGACAGATTATTATATTTCTAAATAAATAAATAAAAATTGTAAGTAAATATTATACATTAACTATTTGAAACGTAATTTATTAAACAATGAAATATTAAAAGGTCCTATTGTTAATGACACAAGGCTATTCCCAAAATGACTAACTATTTTGAAAAGTGTCCAAAATTTATTTCATTATAATTGTTATTCAATAATTATTAATAAATTGTATATCGATATGTTATGAACTGAGCAACAAGAGATAATGGCTTTGAAGTTCATGAAAGCAGGAATGTGAGATATCATAGTTACCTGATGCCTTTTGTGGGTCGTACAGGTAATATTGATTAGCGTCGGTGGTCTATACGTAATGCCACTCTTTATTACAAATGTTTTTTTTTTGGGATACGAGGTGGGACAGATTTTTTGTCTCCAACGCTCCTTTAGACAGGTGCTTGCATTCCTTTTTGGCCATAACTTAGCTTCAGCTAATGTTTGCTCCTCAAATAATTTTTATGAGACGGAATAATGATTAATGATGTGATCAGTGTAAAAAAAAAAAATGTCCTTCCTGTCATAATTAGACTAGTACTGTTTTATTTTAATTAGTGTTATAATAACTTAGGTTTAACCTACTGAAAAAAAATCTATTTGAAGAGTATATCAATGGCTTAATTGTTACAAAATTAAAACAGTTTTCCGTTTCCTTCTGGGCAATGCCGGTTTTAGGGCAGTGCAACCCGGGTAGTGTTGCCCAAATGCGAGACCAAGACGAATCTTGGTCTTGCGCACCCAGTCTTGGGCTTGGTCTTGGTTTTGCGCAACAGTCTCGCAGTTATCTATTAGCCTATTACCATAGAGATATTACTATAATTTGTTGCATAGAAGAAACTTAATTAAGCTATAATAAAAAATTGGAAGAGTTAAATCCAAAAGTATATTGGTTATACCAATTCTTTACATATATTATCTAAAATTCAACTATTAGTAGCAATTTTACCTTAATTTTTATTCGAAAAATTGATTTTTCTTACCAGCCTTGGTCTTGCTCTTCCAACAGTTAGGCGGTCTTGATCTTGGTCTTGGAAAGTACAAGACAAAGACATATTTTAGGCAACACTAAAGCCGGGCATTTTCCCGAGGGTACAGCCTGGAAGAGGGCACTTGTCAAGAATTAAAAAAAAATACAATGCGTATGAGCTTCATCAATTTTAGCTTATTTAAAATCTGGAATAAAGACATTGGATGAAATATAAATTCAAATATTACTTAATATAAGCTTAGGAAGTAATTCTTTTTTTGAGGGAGAAGAGGGTGTGACGTCAATACCCAGGAGCCCCAAATGTCTAAGACCGGCACAGATTAAATGTCAATCTTCTGATTCGTTTTAAAAACCCGTGAAATGGGTTCTCCTAAAATTTTTGATGGGGTCACTTGAACTATGCAACCCCATTCCGGACATCCTTGATTATTTTTAATTTGTAGATATAATACTAATAATAATAATATTAATATGTATAATTTTTAAAATTTTCATTTAGAATATCATTTTTTTTTTCACATCCAGCATTATCGGACTTCTAAACCAAAAGTGAAAATATTTTTTCAAAATGATAGCTTCATAGGCATTGCCATATTAGACGTACAACGGTCAAGAAGTGGCATATTAATTTTATAAACAGATTCTAAACAAATCCCTTTGATCTGGAGTGCCCATACACCCATGAGCGATGGCTCATGCCAACTCCAAAAATAAATTATTATCCTCCTCTTCTTAAAAATGGTGAAAATAAATGTAAAATAATAAAAATTTTAGTTTAGCTTTTCCATTCATTCCACATCCACGAAAAAGTTGGTTCGCTCCAAAAATTCACTCTAACTATCTCTGACTCCAAAAATATGTACCTCCAAAAATCCATAAACACCATGCAACCACCTTCTGGGCATTGCCTTAGTTTCTCAAATAATATTTATTAACTAACCAGTTTCGGTAAAACATGGATCTTAATAACTCAAAACCGAAGTACCATTAATGCAGATTAGAGACAGAACTCTATACGTATAAAGACAAGAAGCAAACTATTCAAAGTAAAGGAGCTCCTGGATTCTGCAGAGATTTAGCACTAACGGATGAAAATTATGTGCGAAAATGGCCATGTTCTACTTACTTGAGGAACAAGACCAAAAGCATACCGCCGGCCTTCCTCAACACTGTACATAAGGATCGTTAAAGAGACCGTGTAGAGCAAGTTACTGGGGTTCTCACGCCAACAGGTCTCGCGCTGTAATTGGCGGGGGTAGGCGATTAGTGGAACAGCTTAGTCTGTTCTTTCCCATCCAGGAGCCTCATAACTTTCATCGGCGGAGCAGCATCAAGTACCTTAGTCCGGGATTAAATGTTCCTTATATGTAAACCTGTCCAAAAAGACACATCTTGACACTCTATTGAAGGAAGATAGTCGACTGTTCTACATATCATGGGTGATAAATATTCAGGACGCTGTCAGTATAAAGTTTTTATTGGTGCCGACGTTTCAACCCAAACATGTGGATCATCATCAGGGCATGTTACGAGCACTGAAGGTATTTTAGTACTCATACTTGATAATTACTCATAAGTACTCACACATTGAATAACTTCAGTGCCCGAAACACGTCCTGATGATGACCCACATGTTTGGGTTGAAACATC